GAAACATTTTAATAAATTTTTAATTAGTAATACATATTTATCTAAAACAAGTACAATATTAAATTTTCGAATTAATTTTTAATTCATTAAAATTATAATTTTAATCAAATCAGGGCAAAAGAGTCTTATCACACATGAAAAGAATTAGTTTTCAAAAAAAAAATGGTGTATTTTTCAAAAATTTAAACATAAATAGGGTATTTTCCAAATTATCCCTTAATAATATTAGTTTGAAAGTAATATTCACATTTTATTTATTTATAAAAATGTAAAGAAGATAACAAACAGATTTTTAGAAGATTTTGATTGCACATAAAAGTAAATATACAAATGCTTTAAGAAATTTTTTTTGAAAACTTATACTTTAAAAAATATATACTCAACACTCAATTTCTTTGATTTTTTATATCCCTTTGAAAGAGAAAAATGTACAAATAAAGACCAATTTTTTCTTTTAGAAAATGTTCTTTCAAAACCTCTAAATCGATTATGTCAAATAGTCGAATTCGCTTTTGCTCCGTATGTATCTGAAAGAGTATCATTTTAACAATATTCACACAAATTATAAAATTATTAGAATATGAAAATATGCCCCTATTTAATATATCATTTATTAAATGGTTATAGTTTAAATTTAAAGAGATCTACCATTTAATACGAGGTAAAATAGGAAATGCATGTGAAAAGTCAGATTGAAAACGTAGAATGATTCTCTTTTTAATACAAAAAAATAGATTGAAGATGATAGGCTATCTATAGTTGATAAAATCAACATGTTTTAGTTAATCGAATGAAACCACGAAGAATTTAAATTAAATAATTTCAAATCAAATAGAAAATAACATGATAAACTACTCTTAGGATAAACCGTCTTTTTATCACATACTCAAATTGATTTTCCGGTAAACAAAATGTGATGAACATTTTTTTTTAATATCTCCATCTAGATTTCAAGCTATGGCGAAAACATGTTGGATTAGCATGTAAAAATATCATGCTTTACCGATTAGATAGGGCAATTGTTTCAGAATTTATGTGAAATAATTTCATATATGTTATGAATTATGTTACTCAAGATATATAATACATGTTGA